TATAGCAAACATAAACTATTACCGAGCCTATATGTAGAAGGGCCAAAGCTATCTACGCATAACATTCATCTATTAAAAATCTGGTTTATCTATACCAAAATAATATAAAGGCAAATAGCCCTAAAGCAAAGTGTTTCTAAAAGGGTGCCACCCCTTATTTATTTAGATTATTCCTTTAAAGAATTTATAAGACTGCCTCACTTGCAATTTGTGACTCTGAGTACAGAGCATCAATAAAATAAAATAAAAAATCGATTCAAAAAGAAAGAAATACAAAACCAATCTAACAAAACACGATCAACACGCAGACAAGGCTGGGTATAACAAACACACTCACAGCAGAATGGGCTCATCTGCCATCTTGGTCCAACGCATGGAAGTTGGCTGTGCTAGCTATAAGTCAATAAATGTGAGCAATACAATTTCTACCTGACAGAAGCAGCTTCTTGAAAGTAACATTTTTTTTGTAACATAGCCAAAGGTGACGCACTGCACTGTTTGCCAAGCCATCTGGAAGAAGAATGCCCATTTATGGACTGGCAGCTGGCTAACTGAATAGATGATGGTAACAGAGACAAAAGTAGATATGAGTAGCAGGAGGCATAACGCTTCATCATATCAGAGGCCATTAAGAAACCACCAGTCAAACCAGAATATAGCTAAAAAAATGTTTGGAAAGACTGTTATTTTTCAGCACAAAAAGTGCTGGTAGAGATTCTTCCAAAATTGCAGTACAGAAAATATGGAATAAGATCTTATATTGTAAGTATAGGAATTTCCAGTGCTTTGTTCCCACTGCAGTCTACAGCGGGGTTAAACGCATTTGCAGTGGAAGAAAGATGATGGCAAGCAGGCTTAATTCTTCTCCTTCCTTCTGCTGCTTCTCCTCACAACTCTTGTTCTCAGTCTGTATTTCCCCCAATCAAATTTCTTTGTCAGATAGTTATTTCAAAAGAACTTAAGGCAGCTAAAATAGAGGTAAAGCCATAAGCTAACAATTTAAATCATTATTTGTAGACTAAAACTGCTAAAATAGGAGCATGAATAATAAACAGCGGCAATGCACATATTTACTCCATATTTCTCTCCCTTGCACACATCAGTAAAAAGACAGTTACAATCCAAACTACTTCCAAAAATAAAAGATATCCACCATCATCCCAAAGAGCATTACAGAAGAGATTAAGTTGATCTTGCTTAGAGAGGAACGGCAGAGTGTAGATGATGATTCTAAAAAGGCAATTTTTCTTTTTCCAACAAGACCTATTTCTGGCTTCCTTAGAATGTATCTAGAGGCTCACAATTATTTACTTAAGGTTTTGAAAACTGTGCCTTTGTCAAAAAATTGATTTCAGGGTTGTATGCCATTTAAAAATGGTTGTCAATATTAAAAATAAATAATAATAAATTCAAATGGCTGAAGAGTTAAGCTCCCAGTAACAAATGTAAGGACTGATCAGGCCTGGGGCTAATAAAAAAAAAAGAGTTTAGCCTGGTGGCAAAAGAAATGCAGGCCGAAACATGTCTCTATTAACAGCACATTCAAAAATCAGGGTGCCATCCCAGACAAGGACTTTGTGGTACGTCTATAATGCACTTCTCACAGACTCAGCACTTAAAGAGGTGCTTCCTCTTAATGCACAGTCTGGTTGATTTAAAAAAATCAGAAAATTGGCTGTGCCTTTTCTGACTAACCAACTTTATTAAAAGGCATAAGCTTTCATGCTAGCCACTCTAGGCATCTGAGGAAGTGAGCTGCTGTTCACAAAAGCTTATGCTTTTTAATAAAATGTGTTAGTTGGAAAAGGTGCTACCAGATTCCTGATTTTTTTCCAACATAGACTAACCTGGTTCTTCTCCTACAAAGACTGGTTGATGGGATCTGATGTTCATGTAAGAAAGGACATCCCTTCAGAGATTCCACTCCTAGATTGTAAGAGGCTTTAAAAATGATCTCCGTTTATGCCCACAAACAAACTGGAAGCTTTAGACTAAGTGGTCGAAAAGCAGACAGGAAAGAAGGATTTCAGAGAAATGGGGTAAGCAGGAGAACATCGAAAGCATTCTCCTCCTCCTGCTTCTCCTAAGCAATTGCCTCCCCCTCGACTCCACAGTGGTGACATGCATTGTACACATTATTGGGAATCTATGTTTGTTGTTGTGTAATGTCTCATTTCAGCCTTTGTTCCAAACATACTTAGAATGAAACCACATTAAATGTGCACTCTGGTTCACAGAGATTAAAAAGAAGCATACTGTACGTAGCTATCTCAAGATTTCCCATATGGGGTTTCCTTTGCAGGTAGTCTTAAAGCTTCAGCTGGTCCAGAATTCTAGTACTTTTTGGAAGAAAGGTGGTAGAAGACAGAGTTGCCATTTTAGCACTGGTGTGCTTCCCAAAACAATCTGAAATAAAAGTCACCCTAAGTGAACCCTGCATTATTCAAGGAACACATATTCCTATATATATATATATATATATATATTCCTGTGCCCAATCAAGTAAGGTGAGGAAATTTTGCTATCCTTTCAAGTTCTGAATAAGTTTATAATTTCTCAAATGCTGCTGTTTGGGAAAAGAGATCTTGTTGGCTTTCTGTGCTTGGTTTTGGTGAAGATAGATAATAAAAAATGTACTCATACTACTAATAATAAATAACATAAGCACACATACTTTATAGGCAGATTCCTAGAGGTACATAAATGGTGAAAGAAAATAGAAAATAGAATGGCAACCAACAGATTAAACATGAAACTGGGCTTCCCATTCACCAAGACCCCGTTTTTCAAATGCTGCTTTGTTGGTGATCTTCCACCCTTGTCTCACTTAAATCAAAATGCTCACCGCATAGCAATGTAATCTTCCTATAGGGTCAGACTAATATGGTCAGGACCAACAGGGTCAGTTCAGTGTGCTTAAGGGAACCAAGTCTCTGCCCTAGTTTCCCTGAATTATACTACTGTATCAAGGGGAAAAAAAAGCAAATATAATTTGTTTGCCAAAATGCCATTTTGGCCAAGCTTTCATGCCATGAAGTTTGAATTGACAGATATAATGTATCAGTATAGTATATACTATACTGTAGTATAGTAGTATACTGTAGTATATACTATACTATACTATAATGTATCAGTATAGATATATACTGTATAATGTATAGATATATACTGTATAATGTATCAGTATAGATATAATGTATAATTGACAGACATAATGTAAGCAATACATTATGCATTTATTCTTTATTTAGTAAATTTATAATTATATATAAATTATATACACATGTACATATCTATATTAAATATATATGTACATATTATATATTATCTGCATGTTCTGCAGTGCCCTTTCTGGACACTGTTTGCAAGAATCATTGGAAGCAGATAAAGAACCTAAACACTAAACTATTTTAACTTCTCCATGACATATTTGAAAAGAATGAAAGAAACATAAATGAATTGCTATCTTTCCCATCACATGCATGTTGGTTAAATAGTGCAAAAAATGACAAAGCAGCTGTGATGAGAATGAGCATCAGTAAGACTTTAGCTGTTGGACTATTAGGAGATATTTAGGTACGTAATACTATTAAGTTATCCTATTCATCAGGGTTTGAAAACGTTGCATTTATTTTTAAACCACCTTTAAAGGTGGTGTTAAATTGGAATTACTACTCATTACATTATTTTATGTACTTTTATTGCAGAGGCCTTTGGTTAAATGCAAATAAAAGTCCTGAGAAACAACCAGCCAGATACCAAATTGTTCCAATGTCTATATTTATTGGAACTAAATGCCAATGTGGGTTGGAAGATGGATTTCCAAGACCTATGACAGCTAGACATAGATTCAGGTATGCATCCTCCAGTGAAGCAAGCTGAAATATTTAGTTTGTGAACCCTCTACCAATCTAAAACAAGGGGTTGTGCCGAACAAACTTCCATCTGTTTGTTGAGGATCTAATGTGCCGATCCCAGAGTGGCCGGCTCACCGAATAAGACCTCAGAACATGGCAAAAGCAAAAGGCATTTTCTCTGACGTTTGCAACACCAGGGTTTCTCCCAGCCTGTTCAAGGTGGGATCTGTCCTCTAACCATCTTGAAATAAATGAAATATGGATGATGCTTTTGATATAATGGGGGAGTGAGTAGAGGTGGGATGGGACACATATTTGATTTATATCTTTGTGTCATTCAAAACCCCAACTAAGAGAACAAAGCAATCTCTCTTTCTTTGCCCAACAAATGTGAGGTAGGTGAGGCTGACTGACCCAGAGTCCTCCAGCTTTATAATGAAGATTTGTTTTCTTTAGCCTGAGATATTTATCCAAGAACAAAGAAGCGATCCATTCCATCTTGGTTGGGGATGTTGGAGTATCCCCAGTCTAAGAGAGGTAACATATGCAGAGTCTCTTTGTGGTGCCCCCCTGTGGAACAGGCTCCTCTTCCCTTAGGCTAGTACAGTACTAAATTGCTATCTTTCCACAAAGCAGTCAAAACAGAATTATTTCTACCGTAGGGTGACACTGTGAATGTCAACCAGTTTTGGACAGGCACTTATGGTTACTGTAACTGGTATTACTTTATCTTAATAACTTTTAATTAAATACTTTATTAATTATTATAATAAGCAATACATTATGCATTTATTCTTTATTTAGTAAATTTATAATTATATATAAATTATATACACATATACATATGTATATTAAATATATATGTACATATATATTAGTATAATATAACATAATACAATATAATATATAATTACTGTTATGCTTTGATTCACTTTTCATTTGAACTGCAGCTGCATTCTGTTGCTGCTGTTATTGTTTTTAATGCCTTGCTGCTTCTCTCGCCGATCGCTAAGCGCCGCACGCGACGCCAGCGCCTCCTCTGGCTCGGACGACGGAGTGCAAGGCTGACGAGTTGATTGCCGGCCGCACTGCTTCGATCCGCTAATTCCACCCCATCTGCAAGAGTGCCTCGTCGCAGGCCGAGTAATGGATGGGTGAAAGGAAAGATGGCGGAGAAGGCGCAGAAGAGGTAAGGAGTCTGGGTTGCTAAGCCTCTTGCGCAATTAATCTCCGGATCTTTCCCCCCTATGAGTTATTTTCTTTAGATGTTGCTTGGATCGGTTTTTTTCAAGCTATGTTGTTCGTAAGTGTATTCGTTGTTGTTACTAAGCAGCTGCAACGAAGGTAGCCTCTGAAAGAAAAAGATGAGGCCGGGCCTGCCGATAAATATCCATTTTCAATAAGCCCCCAAATAATTCAGTCCAGCCGGAGAGGACGATTTTGAGGACGGAAAGCTGCCTCTCCTCACGATGCCGCTCGAGAAAGCGTTTCTTCAAAGGAGAATTTCAATATTCCGTGTTTTTATTTTTCTACTTCGGGTTTCGCTGTGTACAGGAGCATTTATGACTTCTGGAGGGTTCCCACAGTTTGCTGAATATCTTAAGTGAGGCCTTGCGTTTATTTTTTATTTTTTAATTTTTTTTACGCCTCACTACGGCCTTTCATGTTAGAAGAAGCCAAGCCACCTTGTGGATATTCCTAAATAGTTTTGGCAGAATATATTGCATGCTGAATGATTATGAGACTGCTTTCATCCTACTTAATGCTATTCAACATTTTTCCTAAATACCTTAAGTGCTTTGCATTCATCAGCTCAGAAAGTCTTAAAACAACTCTGAAGCTTGAGTGTTAATATTTCAGGTGGCTAGTAAAGGCTACAAGGATGAGCTAAAGCTTCCCATTGATTTCACAACTGACGAAATTTTGATAGTTTGAGACAGAGAGCTGTTTTGTCAGTAACAATATATTTCAGTGTCTTCCTAGCTCTCTGGTCCAGTGTTTTAACTAGTACTGCAGTTTATGGCAGTATTGTGGCTTCTCAGTAGTGACATAGCAATATTTTGTTATTGACAAAACAGCTCTCTGCCCTCAAACTGTCTATTTAAACTATCATTGCAGGTACTTGTTGGATAATAGCTGTGGCATAGAATCTTAGGTTACAGAATTCCTCTACTGTATTTTGGGACTTTTAAAGTTTCCTTAGAGGCTGAGCACTTCTGTTGCTCAAGATTTAGCCTTCTCATCACTGCACCTTTTTTTTTTTCAGGTGCAGTTACTAAAAGAGTTTCCTCTCTATTCTTTTTAAAATGCATTTCCAAGAATCTGAGTGTATCTGACAGTGATGAGTGCATGCATGGGAGAAATGCCAAACACTGTTGCTGTTTCTGTTGATCTCTTTTCTAGTGTGAAGATTGCTCCTGGAGCTGTTGTCTGTGTGGAGAGTGAAATCAAAGGAGATGTGACTATTGGTAGGATAAAATAATTTTATAGAATGGTACAGCTGGGTTAGCACAACACACTTAACTTGATTACTGAATTAACAGATATCACAATACCATTGAATTATTAACTAATAGTCTATGGTTGTATAATATGGTAAGCCACAAAAACTTACCAAGATTAAAACTAGCAAAGCTTAGAAAGTTAAATAAATGCAGCCTCTAGGTTTATAACTGACACAGTTAAGCATATTGTGTGAATCCAGAAAATGTTGTGATCTTGGGTCAATTAGAATAACCACCAGGAGCTGGGGACAAATTTATAAAAATGCTCTTAATTTCTGCATATTTCTGAAAAACCTGGTCAGATAGAACTGTCTGCATATCTAGGCAATTTCTTGAAATCAGTTTCTGGATTAAGTCACCAGTAAAATGAAAAAGAGATAGAAACTAAGAATGTCATTTCAAACTTCACAGCATGAATGGGTCATCAAGATTCCTAGCAAAATTTAAAATGATTGTTAGTTTCTTCCAGGGGAAATTATAGAAAACATGTCATTCTAGACCACGTATGACCTTTACCTTTTTAGTCCTCATGCTTGAGAAAATTAAAAGTTACTCTTCTTTATAAAAAATCTAATATAGATTTCATACCTGGTATATTGGGTCATTTATTTAAGCTTGGATTATTTTTCTGGTGCAATGGAGAGTGAGATTGTTTTCTTCACCTCTTTGCTATTTTCATTTTATTCAAATATATGTGAGCATGATGTTGAAGAAGGCATATATCAGAGCCCCAAGTTCCAGATTGAATGCAGGATAGTAGTCATTCTATTCTGATTTAATTCCATGGGTTCTTACTTATATATTCAAGCATTGTTCTCATTTGTGGATATCCAAGGTTTACCAGTTGGATAGGACAGGGAAATATAACCCCACCCTACATGGCAAACAGGATAATCCTCAAAATCTTGTTTATAACATCCAGTTGATAAAATTAGTATTTTAGCTCAAAACATAGATTTTTTTGAAAAAAGAAAATCATACATAGTTTGAAGTACCCGCTCCTTTACTATAAAGTATTCATTTTAAGAATGTAAATAGCTGGCGGTGCTCTAGTAGTCCAGCCAATTGCTGAAGAATGTGGTTGATCCCTTGCAGGTATTTTAGTGAAAAACGATCCTTACTTGCATCTGCACTTTTTTCCCCCATCTTTGGGGAAACTGTTGTCATAATCCTAGTTCTAAACCTGGTTTATCATTCTTGTTGCCCACTCAACAAGTGAGGGTAACTACCCAAAATAAAAGATTTTCAGTGCAAATGGAGGGCAGTAAGAACGATGAAGTAGGTTGCAGCTGATGACTGTATGATAACGATTGTGATTCCCCTTCTCATGTGTAGGTATGACATCCATTTAAAATGCATGGAGAGGGCTGGCAGCAGTCCTGTATTGTTTGAAGCAAATTGGTATTTTCAGATAAATTTATGCTCAGGATAATATACTTCCTTGAAATATTTTGATGATACATAAGTGCTATAGCAATAAGTATTTTTTTACAGGACCTAGGACAGTGATTCACCCCAAAGCCCGAATCATTGCAGAAGCTGGACCAATTGTGATTGGGGAAGGTAATCTTATAGAAGAACAGGCAATTATCATTAATGGGTTAGTATAGTTTAATCAACTTTCTTAAGACATTTATTCATTCCATTTGCATGGCCACCCAACTTATAGCAACTCTGGGCAGCATACAAACTAATTAAAAACAATCATAAAAAAAAATAAAATAGCAGAACAAATTGGAAACAAAGATGCTAACTCCTAGGGCTCACTCAGTACTCTGGCTCAATGCCCGAGTATTGCCAGGTCTTAAGAGCCTTATGAAAGTCCAGTAGGATTGGGGCTTTCTGAATCTTGGGAGGCAAACTGTTCCACAGGGTTTGTACTGTAACAAAAAAGGTACACTGCCTCAGTCCCACCAGATGGCATTGCTTGATGGAAGGAATCAGGAGCATGCCATCTCTGGTGGATTTAATAACCTGGTCCTGTGCCATCATACATTGATTGCATTCACTCAGATAGAAATTGGCAACCTGCAGCCCTTGAAATAATTTCATACAACCCTCAGTGTAAATTTCAGTCTTCTCAATATTCAACAGATGTTCAGACCTGTGGTCTTACCAGAGAAAAATTAGTATTTTGAAAACATTAAGTGTAACAAATAGCATGAATTCAGTATATTAGTACTGCAGAAACTGAACTAGATTACTGCATGTTTAATATGCTTTTTATATTCATTCCTTACTGTTGATTTGATGACCAGCCATTTTTTAGTATTGTCATAATGAGTTGAATACAAAAGCAAAGTCATTTGTAAAACTATAAGATAATCATTTGAAGCTTTCCCAGTTAGTATAGTGAATATTTCTGCACAGATCTACTTGTACTCTCCTGCACCAATGTATGTAAAATATATAAATATTATTCACTCTAGGGAAGCATTCTGAACCAGTCCATTGAATGAGGGTCCATAAAATTGAGGTTTTGTTGTATTTCAGATTTAAATTGTCCTGTAAACCTATTCTTAGTTCAGTTTTCCATAGCATATCTTTGAATCCCTATATCATTATTATTTTGTCAGAACATTCTTACAAAATGACATCTGTCCCACTATTCTGAAAGAAACTGGGTTGACTATTGGTGAGTCTGGCTGAGGAGAAATAACAGCTTAATGAAAAGGTTTAAGTTAGTATCAAAGTTTAAAGATAAAATTCTTGGTTTTAAGGGCATGGTATGTCATTTTGTAATGCAAAAATGTTAAAGCACACTTTCCATCTTTACAGCTATCCTGAAAACATTACTCCTACTACAGAGGAGGTGGGAACCAAACCCATGGTCATTGGCACTAATAATGTGTTTGAAGTTGGCTGTTGTATCCTTCTGAAGAGTAAATTAAAAGATTAGAAAGATATATGTTTGCATCAGACAATAATGGTTACATGATATTTAAGTAATAAAAATATGTGTGATGTAGTCTTAGATCCCAATTTTGTGACAAAAGAGAATTGTTTGGGATGTGTGTCTTACATTGTTAAGCAGTTATTAACCCTAATCGATTTTTGTATCCAGTGGCTTCACTAAAGCAGCCCTTTACCTGTTGAGGAAAAAAAATCTCAGTGATTCATTTCTGCTAAGTAAAAATCAGTTTGTTACAACTATAATGTCATAGCTTAGGATGCCTTTTAAATACATTGTCTGAAGTTCATAATAGCTTTTTGACTGAATGAAAAAAAACAGGGTATGTTATTTTAGTTTCCTTTAAATAACATCTTATTGTGTTCAGTCAGAATCTTTTGCTAAAGAGAGAGATTTCACTAGCTGCCTATAATTTAGCATATGCTTTTTTAACTTTCTGCATATAATCAGACTGTTCTGTGTCCAGGGCTATAAAGATAGGATAATGTTCTCCCAGGATCTTTCCTGAAGGCAAGGGAGCTGCAAAGGATCTCCTACGGTATTAGGGAGAACTGAGGATATGGGGAACATACAGACAAATATTCTTAACCATGACTTGCAGATTCTCAAGCAATGAAAATAGGAGACAACAACGTAATTGAGTCCAAAGGTAAGTATCTGATTATTAAGTGGAAAATCTAATGATTGTTTTGTATGTTCTCAATTCCTGCATAGTGTTTGGGGGAGGGGGGGGTACTGTTTTCAAGAAGCACTTCCACACCTGATAACTTCAGAATGAGTAAGAAAATGGCAATCCATTTATTTTATTCTATTTTGTTTTTGCAGTTATATGAAATTTAAACACAGTTACAAAGAAGTATAAATAATATAATTATTATGATACAATGATAACAGTAAAAACGTACCATTCATGCCCCAGTAGTTGTATACAGCCAACCTCCAAAGCCTTCCAAAAGAATAAGGCCCTATCATTTGCGAGCCTATAAGAATAGCCTCCCACCTCACCTAACTTTGGGGGGCAATAGTTAATAGTGGAGTACTACAGCAGAAGGAAGATATGGAAAAATTATCTGGTTTGCACTGGCAATATATTGGTAGCCCCAAACTGGGTATACTGTAAAATGGTGCTGGGCCTCACATAGCATTTAGCAAAGACCATTGCAAATGCTGCCATCCTGACACATTTCCCAGCACAAAGATATGTGTGCTTCCTGGGAGCTGACTAGTCAACTAATTAGTAGTCTGCCAGGAAATGCATATGATTGCATTGGGAAAGGATGCTCAACCACCGCAAGGTTGTTCTCTTGCAGAGTGGCAATGAGATGATTGATAAATTACCAAAGAGCCCACAGCTTCCACAGCAGATCCAGACATAGCCAGAAAGATTCTTAAGGTCACAGGCCTGCTCCTGTTGGGGGAGTGCCATTCCATCCAGAGTTAGAAGTGGAGCAGGTAGGAAGTCACGTGGTTTCTGGACAAATAGCACCTCCATCTTGTCAGGGTTCAGTTTCAGCCTATTTTAACCTATTCTGGACCCACAACCTCCAGGCACAGGATCACAGCATTTCTGATCTGGCCCAGGATCATCAGTTTATATTACATTGCATGCTATCTTAGTGTAGAAACTTTGTGCTCCATTTCTAGGCAACACATCAACTAACCACCTGAGTTCTAGGGAAAGAAGAAGGCTCCTTGTGCCATTCTTCCTCAGCACAATGGCAAATCAATATTTGTCTGAATGTATGCTGTTACCCACCATTTAGCAAAACATGGCCTACATACAGAAAAGATTATATACCTCTGTTGTAAAACCTTAGGTAGTGGATGCCACTGGGGCAGAAATCCAACACCCTTAGAAGTTATTTTAAAGTAAGTTCATAATATGAGTCTTAAAGGTTTTACCTCTACTGACAGCCCCACTAGGTAGACCAGATCAAGAAATCAATTCCATAGGAAGGCTAGAACTACTTCTGTTGAGATTGGCTATTATAACAGACTCTTGCAAGTCTGATTGTGCTGATTGCCCCCCTTCTTATACTCCAGTGAATTGGGAGGTGTTCTGTCTGAGCCGCTTCCAAATGTTATCTGTCTGTTGTAGACTTAAAATATGTTTCTCTCACACACACACACACACACCATCATCCTGGCTCTTGCATGGCTCTGCCAAGATCATCTTCCTTACTCTCTACCTCTGCAGCATTTGTTGGTAGAAATGTGATCCTGACAAGCGGCTGCATCATTGGTGCCTGCTGCAACGTCAACACGTACGAAGTCATCCCCGAGAATACTGTAATCTACGGAGCGGACTGTCTTCGTCGAGTGCAAACTGAGCGGCCACAGGTGAGTAGGGGACAAGAGTTTGTGGCAGCTTGGGTTCTTCGGTCAGCAGGTTGCCTGCCTTGCAGTGTGTGATTTTGCCAATCCAGTCAGAGAGGAGAGCCCTGAAAAATGTGCACTTCGCTTAAGATTTGTATCCCATGAATATCCTGTTGATAAAGGTTGCCTATCTTGACCTCAGATGTAAAAGTTTAACCAAAAGAGGAGAGAGGTCAACATCTAGGCAATATAAGCAGCACTAGATAGAGAAGGCTGTGACTAACTAATCTGGTCTGAGGGTCCAGCTGAGGGAGGAGGGAGGAGCATCTCCCTTTCTTGCATTTTTCTCTTCAGATGAACATGTCTTTTGTGGATGATCTATCTCTTTTCTCCAAGGAAATCAGACACACAGTTTAATAAAAGAGTTTTGTGATCTTTGTTAGAGATATGTGATTTCAGATAAACAGGCAAACTGAGGGTTAGGCCTGCTTACGTTGTTGTTTTCCATCTGCTTAGCGATGCTTTTTTATAGCACTGCTATTATCACTATAGTTTGTAAATTCATATGTCATGCAAAAACATAAACCTGTTTTAAAATCACAATTTATGATTCTGATGTCCTACCTTGTTGAGGCTCTACAGGAACCAGACCAGCCAAGGATCAGATAATGAATGACAAATGACACTCATACCCATATTAGGACCTAGCTAAATAGCTTTTCAATCCTGTCTTCCTCAGCATGAAACAATGGAGAAGGGCTTCAGCATTTTCTCAGCTACCGCACAGGTGTGGAGAACTAAAGTAGTTTGGGGAATATTACTGATGCCTTCGTTGCTGTATACAGGGAAGAAATTTGGATTAAAAAAAGATGTTTGTCTTATATTTGTGAGGAAAACATTTGTGATGTGTCATTTGAGAGAAGGGGAGATTGGGGAACCAATTTCCTTAATAGGAATTACCTTAAAACAAGTCAGATCATTGATCCATCTAATGTTTTCAGCACTGGTTGGTGACAACAATCATACATTTCAGGCAGGTCAACTTCCCTGATTTCATTAACAAAACTGGGAAAACTGAACCTCTGAAAGGTTGATTGTGTGACCTTCTCCATGAAAGGTCCTGTCATATTTTCTACTGCTGAGCTATAGCCCCTCTCCTCACGTCATCTGGAAGCTAGATATGTTGCATTTCCCTACCAAAATAGGCAGTTGAGTGTTCCCCAATCTTTTGGATTACAATTTCTATAATCTGTGAGCATTGGCCATGCTGATGGGGATATATGAAAGTTGTGGTCCAGTTGCTTCTTCTAAGCAGATGTGTTAGGATTCACATATATCTTTCTAACATTGTGCTGTTCCTTTTAGCCACAAACATTACAGTTGGACTTCCTCATGAAAATCCTCCCAAATTATCATCATCTTAAAAAGGCTATGAAAGCAACATCAACACCTGTGAAGAGTTGAAAGCCTTCCTGGTCGTGGTCAAAATTGTATCGGAGATGTTACCGTCTGCTTTCTGGATTTCATATTTGCAAGAACTAACTTTTCTGGTTAGTCTGGATATTTAGTCATTCAATTATGCAGCTTAATTTTATTTATTAAAATATGAAAAATAAAATGTGCCATTGATATATTCCTCTTGATAGTTTATATTCTTTTTAGTGGACTTGATTAACTTTATTACCTCTGTTTTTCTTTGTAAATGAAATCAGGGAAGTTGACCTGACAAACTCATCTTTCATTCTGGTGCTATCTTGGATGGCACCTCATTTTCCCAGTAAACTTGACCCATGATTTTGTTGACTGGAGACAGTGGGAATGGTCCAATTCATTTGGAAGGCACAAAACAAAGCATTACACAAAAAGAACAGTTTTTTAAAAATCTTGTTGATTTCAATGGATATATTAAACTACTGTATATCCTTAGTGCTTTCATTAAATAAAATGCAGTCATAAAAATTTAATACAAACTAAAAATATATATAAAAAAAAAGAATAAAAAGTGCAAAGGAAAAAGAAGAAAAGGGGGGGGAGAAAAAATATATAAAGAAAAAAATATATAAAAAATTTACTACCCCCTTATTCAAGACAAGTACAAACAATTTCAGTAATTTATCACCTTCTCTAACATTTCAACCAAAGATCTCTTCATCCCGTATCTCATCTTTTATCTATTAGTAAATAATAAAACCTCATTATTCAGTCTTAATCAGCAAAAGTCCATTAAGAGTTACCAGAAATAACAATATATATAAAACATTAAACAAGTAAATCAATTTCATTTCTTTTACACAGTAAGTTATTTTCTCTAAACATACAACAATTTTCCCCATATTTTATATCTATAAGCAAACCTATAAAAGCTCGTTGTTCAAACTTAAAAAAATTCCATTAAGTGCTATCAGAAAATCTTAATCTTTAAACCTTCAAATAATATCCCACAAATTAATTTATTATCATTTTCTCTTCATCTGCTCTCAGAAATTCATTCACAAATTTAACACTTTCCTTCAATTTTAACATGATCACTTTCTCTAATCGTACAACAAAAAAAGTTGTTCTCCCCATATCTTTTCTAATAAGTATTTAAGGTCTCATCATTCAGTCCTAGTCAAGAAAAATCCATTAAAAACTAGAAGAAAAAATATATTTTAACCTTGATTGAACAAACCAACTTTATAATACTTCTTTTTGGTTTTAAAAACCTTGATGTTTATTCCTTTTAAGTAATGTCCCAAAAACTGATTTCTTTTCATTCTCTCTCTTCTCAGAAACTCCTTCATAAGGGTAAGGCATCTCTTTCGTAAGTCCAAAATAAGAGTTGTCCAAGTCACTCTTTGTGCTGAAATCCATACATCCAAGTCACTGTTCTGATTTATTAATTGTATG